CATTATAAGGGATTAGCTAGGTGCGATTTAAAGGAGAAAAAACTCAAATTTACTTACTTACGGTCGAATAAGAGATCGGTTAGAAATGCCCTTAATGACACCCAGAACTCATGAGAACTTGAACCTGATTATTCTGGTCTCTCTATGCTTTTACTTTCCTCTTGTAAAGACATTTGTATTTGTTAGTAAAAGCAAAATTCATAGTTAGCAAAAAAAATACGTTTGTATTTGTTTGGCAAATGCCACTTGCCTACATGGAACTAAGCTAGTGGGGATCGACTTGTATGCTAAGAAATTCTAGTGATAATTGACAGGGCACAAGAAACAGATAACACTGAATCTCAAAAAGAGAAAATGAAGGGGAACAAGGCGGAGACAACCCTTTTCTCAAGAAAGAGGCATATGTTTGCCATCTCTAGCACACCAACACTGTGCATGGTTTACTTGTCCAACTTTAAGACTTCACCTCTGATATTCAACAAAGATGACCAAGATAGTTATCCTAAAGCTTGACTAGATTGATGAAAAAAAGGAATCTATATCTGCCCACATAATTTTCCATCATTTTTTTCTGCGAGAAAATCAACGTTTGATCTTGTTTATATAATATTAAACAAACTAGTCTTACCCTTAGTGGCCCTTACCTCAGCATTTGAGTGTGCATTCGCAACAAGTTACTTGTTGAAGCTGAGGTGTGACTCCTTTCCTAGGCTCCAGATTGATTGGTCCGCCAGGACGCATGGCCACATTGCAAAGGAATTAAAAACACATCATGGTGGCTTGTTGTGTGGCACAAATGACTCAAGCATAACTTGCTGGATTTGAACAGGATAAACAAACAGTCGCTGGATTTGAGAAATGGTATTTGTTGGTTGGGGTGCTATCACTGAGCTGGTCTGGTCTTGCTACCTGGCTCGTAATAAAGGAGGTGACAGCAAATTGGGGTTGGCATGTGCCAAGTGGGCTCAATTGCTATTATCCAACACCAGAGGAGGGCCTACATATTTTTGAATTGTTTTGTTTTGGGAATAGCTGGCTTTATTGGACCGAGTTGGCTATTATGGCCAACAAAACAGGTCCCTGTTTTTTCAGTCAATGCTTCACTAAAACTAAAAGATGCATGGAAATATATTTGGTTTGTCACAGATACTGTCGCAATGATCTACGCCTCTGCGGGCTTGTCGATCGATTATTGGCTATTGGTCTCTTAAAGATATACTCCCTCCGCATCAAAATATAAGACGTTTTCTGATACAATGGTTTATAAAATAACGTTTTACATTTGATACGTAGAGAGTGCAAAATACGCCACTTGGCTCGTCGCCCACACCAAAATACATGGTCGCCTCGCCTGGGAGTTATACCAGAAAATACAGAGCTAAAATAGATGGACAAGATCAGTTCCCCCAAACAATGAGGTCACTGTGTGTTCATGGCGTACATCCGACGTGGCGAAATCCTTTCATCGCTGGCCTAGCGAAATGCTGGTGGTCACTTGCGAAATGAGGGAGGAGCTGTCATGCTGGTAGAGGTACCACTCATGCCAGCACGTTGGAGTGCTGCCCCTGCATTGGGTTTTAATTAGTTAGCCAGCCGCGAGAAGATTCCAAGCCCCAAACATTATAAAATTAACCAGCGGATCGGCCGGATTTTTCTTAATTTTGTCTAATCTGCCTCTCAGCGACAGAAAATGGGATTAGCTAGCTGTACTGGTTTCGGTTCTTCATCAGACTTATGGTTTTTAATCATGCTGTCTTTCTCCGAGGATGAGCGCTGCGATTGGCCGGAGGCGTTGCTTCTTTGAGGAGCTCACGGTACCGTCCCCGGGGATGGGCCCACGGGCGAGCAAGTGTGGGCCACACGCAAGGATGCCAAGTGGTGTGACCTGGCCGCGCTTGATCTCTTGTGGAGCGAGGGTGTGCGGCGTGTCATGCTGCTCCACGTCTCCTGTGGGAGTAGGTTTGTATGGAGGTAGCATGATTCGATGGATGTGGACGCTATTTCACTATTCTGGGGATGGAAAATGACCTGCCTAGAAATGAGATCACGACTTGGAATATTCAAGAGAATATCTATTTATTTATTTATTTATTTTAGTTTGTTCTTTTATTATCATGAAATCTTGGCTCAACCCAACTTTCATGTCATCGGCCATCGCCCAGGCAACCTGGTGACGGTGTCTCGGCTAAGGGGCCTCTGGCCGCATCCGGCTCGACGTGCGCGTGGTGCATACTGTTGGTCGTGATGACACGAGGTGATGCAGCGGTGGTGCAACCGACCAAGTCCTCAAGTGATTCATAGGTGTTGGTAGTAGGGCGGCGACGCGGGGCTTCAACGGTGTGATACGCTGACAAGTGGCAGAGGAAGAGACATGTGATAAACGGAGATGGTGCGATCGAGCCGGGGAGGTTGGTGCTTTATGGATGCACCTCACCTTGGTCTGATGCGTGCAGTAACAGGTGTCCTCCGATTTAGGGGGTGTCGATCTTGCTTGGGCGAGCAAAGGATGGAAGTCAAGGCAACGCCCCGAAAGGGGTGAAGGCGGTCTCGAAATGGTGTCTTAGGTCTTTGAGACTCC